GAATGGACAGCTGCGGGGTGGGAGGAATGGACAGCTGGGCTGCCATTCCCAGGGACCTCAGCAGAGAAACAGGCTGATGGGAATCTCATGAAGCTTAAAGGGAAAAGCAAAGTCCTGCACCTGGAGAGGAATAACCCCATGCACCAGTGCAGGCTGGGGACCAACCAGCTGGAAAGCAGCTTGGCAGAAAAGAACCTGGGGTCCTCCCTAATGGAGAACAAGGTGACCATGATGCAGTTCTTCAGTCCTTCCCCTCTACTTGGCACTGGTGACACCATGGCTGGAGTGCTGGGTCCAGTTCTGGGCCCTCCAGCACCAGGAAGACATGAACATAGTGGTGCAAGCCTGCTGAATGGCCTTGATGGTGGCTAAGGGATTGGAGAGTCCACCTCCAAGTCTCACCTCGAGACTGTTCAGCCTCAGAAGAGAGGGCTCAGGCAAGGAGATCTTATGGATGTGAAGATAGACCTGATGGTAGGGAGTAAAGAAGACAAAGCCAGACTCTTCAGTGGTATTCAGCGAGAGGACAAGAGGCAATGGTCAAAAAATAGAGAAGTTTAAAAAAAAAACCCAAACACTTTTTTACTGTAAGGGCAATCGAACCCCAGAACATGTGGCTCAGAGGGGTTGTGAAATCATCTTCGGAGATATCCAAAACCCAACGAGACACAGCCCTGAGCAGCCTGCTCTAGTTTAGCCTGCTTTGAGCAAGGAGGCTGGAGAAGATGATCTCCAGAGGTGCCTTCCAACCTCAACCCTTGGGTGATTCTCAGGAGTTCAGAGCTGCTCAGTTGAAGTCAGTCAGTTTCTGCTCCTCAGACCACATCCATCTTGTAGATATTTCAGAGTTTCTTGCCACAGCACCCTTTCTCTGCTCAGTATTTTTAGCTCATTGTTTTGTATTTTGCCAGCTGAGAAACTGCAGTTTGTAATTTTACCTTCAGCTTCATATTTCTTCTTAAAAGTGAATACAATGTCCTGTTTATAATAATAAAATCACTAGTTGGCAGGATGACATCAAATGGAAAAAGAGAAAGCAACTGGAAAATTTAGAGCAAGCAATTTTGAGTGCCAAGTTTCACATTTGTAATAGTCCAGCGGAGGTCAACAGGCTCACTTATTATTAGGCAAATGGTAAAGAAACAGATATCCTCAAGTTCTTCCATGTTAGACTATATAAATGATCTCTACTTGAACAGGCTCTAGTGCTTTCCAAAAGAGTGATGTTATACATTTTCCACAGTAACACCAACAAGGGGAGACAAGCAAAAGGCAGAACTGCTTTGCAGAGAACGGCCTTTTTTCTCTCTCCAATATTTAGGTTTTTGTTTCCCACTATGATCGGACTTTCCTGGCTTTAGTTTCTTGTCCCAGTTAAGCAGTAAAGGAAACAAAAAGATATGAATGAAATTAGAAACATTTGGAATGAGTCTTAGAAATAGCTTTTGGGTTTCTTAGATTCCTGGCTACACCTCCTCAAATGGCCTCCTCCTCCTCCTCCAGCCCCGTCTCCCGCACCCAGCTCTGAAATTTGCATTTCCTCCTTTGCCCTGTTCTCTTCAGGGGCTATATTTTGTCCCACACCATTGAAATACAAAGTGCAAAGCAAAGCAAACAAGGAAATGAAAATTACATGTTGAAACACTGGAAAAGACCGGAAAATGGTTGAAACTTTGCACCCATCAAAATTTGTCTCTATGACACTAATCCTCCAATGTTTCTCTAAAAGCAGAAACCAAACACTTCTCAAACTTCTAACGAAAAAAATACCAACTCCAGTCAACCTGAATAGTAAAATGAGAACTCTGGTCCTATCTGTATCAAAGGAAGTTTCCCTAACCATGCGATACTGATACTTTATGAAACTTCATGCTCTCTGTAAAATACAACTGCGGTACGCCGTGCCAACACCTCACACCTGCCTAGTGCTTTTCATTACAAGTTTTTGGTGCTTTTTACAAACAAGTAAGCTAAGAGTGCCTGGGAAATACCTGCCTAATTTTACAAATAGATAAACCCATGCAGGTAAAGAGCAGATGTCCATGGCAAAGCTGTGCACTAGTGGCAGAGCAGAGTGTTAAATCAGCTGAAAGATTTCAAACCCATCCATGAGGTTTGGATCCTTTCTGCCTTAAGTAATATTAAAATATTATGTAAACCTTTCTTTGTGAGCCACTACTGGAGAAATGAGGAGAAAAAAAAAAATAAAAAAAAGATCTCTGGGAAGCAATTCTGCAGAGGCTATGTAGGTGAGATCACAGTTGCTATCCAAACAGACTATGCATGGCAAGAACAAGCTTCCTGTAAAACTGGACTTGCAGAAGATCAAGGAACATAGCTACAAGATGGCATGGACAAAATATCCTTCCCTCCTCTTGCCCAGCCTCAGCAGCTTGGTGAAACACACTGTCTCACTTTCATCTCAAACCACACTCACAAATGCCTCCGGTGCAGAGCCTCTGCCTCCGTGCTCCACACACTGACTCACAGACCCGACCACACTCAGGACACACACCAGTTAGCAGAACACAAGTTACCCTCCGAGCTGGAAAGGGTTGCTGCCCAGGGCGGAAGGAAACAAGGAAAAGTTATCTCAGGAAGAGGAAACAGCAGAAAACCTGAGACTCTGGTCAGGTCTCGGTTACAAATCCCAAAAATTTACAGCTCTGTGTTACAGAACCAGAGAGGATTTACTATAGACAAAAATATTTTTAAGCCAAACTCTAACTTACGTTTACTCCAGACAGGTGAGTACTGTGCACACTGCGTTAGGATGAGCTATTCAGAAGGGTCAGCGTGGCTGTTTCAGGAGGAAAAACGAGCCTTTCCTTCCCTGGAATTTATCTCACATCGTACTCTCAGAGTACTGTGCAGTACCTGGGGAGCCTGACAGCTCAACACGGGTAACGTGCAGCAAAGACGGGCACTCACAGAGGCAGGTGCCACTGAACGTGGTGTGAGCTCCCCTGGAAACTGAGGCACCGCTCCCACGGGCACCCAGACCAGACACCCAGCTCCAGGTGCCTTCCTCCGGATGCCAGCCTGGGCCAGCGGGTACTGGCTGTTCGTACAGGTCACACACCACAACGCACTTCTTGCTGACAATGTGAAAGCTCAGATTTAATATCACGGTAAAGCCGAGCCACCTTGGGACTTGTCAAGAACCATCTCAAGGTGTGATGGGTGAGACCAGGAGATGGTGGCTGGGTCTCCAACTCCAGACCCCACTCAGCTACAATCCATGCTGTATTTACTAAGAAAACTCATCTTTTCCTGGGTAGAGAAACCTCTCACTGTGAGGAAACAACAAAGATTCATCCATATTTTACTTTCCATAACTAGAAGTCTCATGTTATCTCTATATGTGTTTAGACCACAGGCTAGTTAGCCAGCGGTGTGGCAGTTGACATTAGCAGGATTAGTAAATTAAGCTCAAATAATTGTCTTAAAAACCTTGACTGTTAAATGTTGATATTTGAGAGGATCAAAAGGAAATCTACTTTGTAGTGTGTACTGTGGTTGGGAAGGGGCAGAGAGGGATTTAAATGGCTTAACTGCAAAACTGTTATCACCTTGATAAGTCCCAGCGTAATAATTTCGCAATAAAAGCAAGAAATGCACTTGGAATTTCTTTCCAAAACTGATTGTCTGACTGGAGACAAGTCAAGCTCTTTATTTGCTTGAAAGAAATCGGACAGAAGAAACAGAGAATGCTACTGAAACGTAGTCAAGAATATAAAAATAAGCACTTTCCAGTGAGTTCTGAACTGCAGCTTTCAGTATCTTCTTTTTTTTTTTAAGACTACTTCAAGCCTACAGTCTGGATCTGGTATCTGAGTGTTACCACCGGTCAATCAGGAGTGGGATTCTCCCTTGAATTACTCCGTTGTATGGCAATGGAAATGCAGGAAGGCTGAAGCAGTAAGGAGGTTGCAGGCTACGGTGCAGGATTAGGTCCAAAGTCACATCTGGTGCCCAGGTACAGACACAAATGGCTGCAGTTTATCAGCTTATAGACTCAAATTTATAACGTCCATGACAACAACACAGATAAATTAAGAGGGAGAGGAGCTTGCTACATACATGCAGGTGCTTGTACCCGTGCAGTGTCTCAGGGAATCAGGCTCGTGGGGCTGTTTCACCCCAACAACATGCAAGAATCTGCCAGCTGAGACAGGATGCTCCAGCATAAGCAAGGGGGGAAGTGGAACACATCTTATCATCCTGGTAATGCATTTATTGCTTTGATTTCTTGCACCTTCCTTTAATGCAAAAGGAGGTTCTAAACAAATTTCTTTTGTCTTTAAATCTTTTCTAGTAAAGACATCCCTGAAATCTCATTTTTCAGCATAGCAAATCCAGTAATTTTGGGTAGACCAGCAATGACACTACCACCCAACAGACCGTGGAGTTCCCAAAAGCTAGCGGGAGCATCACTACCTTACGGGGGTGGGTAATGTGAGGTAGGTGGACAGCACAACGTGTCCAGGCTGTAGGGAGGGACTGCATTTGCCAGCTGCCAACCTGATCAAGAGCCATTATAAACGCCACGTTCTTCAAAACAGAGAAAAATGTTGAGACTAGACAGGAAAATGCAGGACAGTCTCTACCTGTGCTTAAGTTTCAGAGTAACGATGTCTAAGATCATTTGATCTGCCAGGTATTCAGAAAAATCTCTGCTAGAAAACCACCACTAAAATATGCAATACGTTCCAGACAAAAACATAAAGCTTTCAGATCAGGTGCGAAACACCAAATTTTCAGTTTTCAGTTGTTCTTTTGAGAGAAAGTGTCTTCGCCTCACAAAATACTTCTCTAAATAACAGATCCTTTGGGTTTGTAGGTACTTTCAAAAGCAGTCTCTTTCCACACTAGGACAGGTGCCGCATAGTACAGTACAGGTAATAAAGTCAGTGCCTTTTCAAAGGGCGATGAAAGCAAAACAAAACAACCCTGCACCAACCCAAGAAAGAATGTCAAGCCACGGTTTTTTTCGTTACCTTAAATCTCTTCTTTTGGCCAGCTCTTCCAGTGTGATAACCCAGGGCAGGTTCTGGGGAAGACATTCCAGGGCTTCGGGGGGAAAGTCGGAGAAATCCACGCCGTACTCCATCAGGATCCCTTCCGTCTCCGGCTCAATCTCCCCAGCCTGCCCAAGACTTTTGGCCAACTGCCTGCAGAAAGAAAGAAAGGGATGCTTTTTTAAGTGTATAATTACTACTCTCATGTTGTTACTGTCCCCGTAGAGAGGCTGCCGAGCCCTCAAACATACTCTTTCACCCATTCACTTCCCCTGAGTTTTGGCAGAGGACTTCGCAGGAATTCAGACCATCCCATGACTTATGTCTGCGGGAGATGCAGAACACTACCCAGACAGTACCCCGGGCCATTTCGTGCATCTTATTTTTAAGGACATGTTTTAAATGATTAGGTTTTTGCCAAGGTAAGAAAGTGTCCAATTTTAGGAAAAAAAAAATAAATA